TGCAAAAAGTGGGACCCGGTCACCTCCAAATAACTGAGGCCATACTCACACTAGAACGATTTGGATGCAGCTGTAATTGTGGGCAAATTTATTTTAGAAAAAGCTAGTGTGCATATGTCTTGAGATGCCAAAATGCATCCTCTCTTTTATTATTTTATACCCTTCTGGGCCATTTGGCTAAAGATGGATAAAGTATAGTCTCCATTTTCCACAGATCAAAACAGAAAAAAAAAGACGGGCTGCCCGTCGGAGAAGTTGGTTTTTTTTTTTTTTTGAAGTGTAGTTTCCGTTCTTCTTTTTCTTTAATTTTTTTTTTTTTAATAGAGTTCTTTTTAATTACCTTTTCTTTTGGATGAAGTGTAGTCGCCATTCTAATCAGTCAAATACCTGGTCCACGGTCCACTTGACCACAAAGGGGGGTGAGGGGGGGAATAGTTTTGTGCCTTTTGCTGGGCTACGACCATGCTGCACGGGCCACCTTGGTTGCCTGGGCAGCCCGGCTGGGCAAGGGCCAAGGAAGTTCGTCGCAAAAGGAAACGAAAAAACGAACTTTTCCGAGACATAATCAATTGAACGACTTTTGCCTCAGGGTCAAATCAAAATGGGGCTTGGGAATGGCCTCAAGTAGTATGACAGCATGGTGTAATCGGTCCTCCTGATGAGTCTGTGTGCGGGGCGGACGAAACGCGTCGAGGGTTTGGCCGCTTGGATTGTGCACTGATGATTATTATTTGCTGATTCAGTTTCTATTGGCTACTTTGCGTGCGTAACGGAGCTTGGATCTATGGGTGTATCTTGCTTTGCTCTGTTCTCATGCTAATGCTGTCTCGCCGGACAGTTCCTTTCTCCTTCCTTCCTTCCTTCTGGTGGCCTAGACCTTAGAGGGTTTTTTTTTGGTGCACCCCCCCGGTGAAACCTTCCGCATTGCGTCAATGTCCACATGATTGACATCATCTTCATCGAAACAGAACACACGCTCAACATCAACGGCTGCCTCCCGTGGGAGTCTGGGTGGCATGTAAACTACTGGTAATATTTCTAGCCAGCTACATTAAGATGGGGGTGGGTTTAAAAAAAAAAAAGAAAAAAAAAAGGTAAAGGTGGTTTGTGTTCAGGGCAGATGGGACAGGGGGGATGGGGGGGACAATGAAATAGAGTGTTTGTAACCCCGCTCTCCTGTCTGTGAATTAATCCGTGCTCTCCGAACCCCTGTTTTGCCCTCCTCTTCTTGGTTCTTCTTGTTGTGCGTCTCTGAAAGCAGCTGGTTTCATACGAAAGGAAAAACATACGAATATTTGACTGAGGCATTCGCGACAGCTGCACCATCGAGGCTATACACATCGTGAGACTATTCGGTTCCTATCTACTGGCACAATATCGTGAATGAAGTTGCTGCTTTTGCACTCGACAAAGGCGTGTTTCCTTTGAACAACAGGAACGACAGATTCTGCAGCAGCTATAATTAGCACAGATAGCAAATAATTGACCGATCATGTCATCAAATTGAAGAAGTGACTCAGGCTCATCCAGCTGGGTGATTGGGCCTGAAATCTTGCTATTTTCAGTCAAAGACATACGCATACGGAAAAAGCGTCATCCTCACAAAAATGCTCTTCTCGACGAGTGCGCGCCGAAACGATCCCAGCAAAGCATATCGTATCGCTCTCACGAAGGTGCTCTTCTCGACAAATGCGCGCCGAAATGATCCCAGCAAAGCATATCGTATCGCTCTSACGAAGGTGCTCTTCTCGACAAATGCGCGCCGAAATGATCCCAGCAAAGCATATCGTATCGATTTCGCGACGGTGCTCTTCTTGGCGCCAAAATGATCCCAGCAAAGCATATCGTATCGCTCTCACGACGGTGCTCTTCTCGGCGCTGAAACGATCCCAGCAAAGCATATCGTATCGCTCTGACGACGGTGCTCTTCTCGACGAATGCGCGCTGAAATGATCCCAGCAAAGCGTATATCGTCTCAATCTCACGACGGTGCTCTTCTTGACGAATGCGCGCCGAAATCATCCCAGCAAAGCATATCGTATCGATCTCACGACGGTGCTCTCCTCGGCGCCAAAACGATCCCTGCAAATAATGTCGTATCGCTCTCGTGACGGTGCTCTTCTCGACGAATGCGCGCCGAAATGATCCCACCAAATCATATCGTATCGCTGTTGTCTTTTTCCCATTCAGGACATGAAGTGGATGGCACTGGGATTAACTTTTCCGTCACTGAACCCTCGGTTGTTTTATTTGAGAGGCACAACCCGTGCAAAATAAATTTCAACTTATGGCATTTGTGAATGAAAGGCATATGCCCCCACACTTATGTAACATTTTTGACACGTGTGGTGTTTGTGAAAGCTTGGTCAGGCCTCACCTGGGCTGTTTCATTAGGGGTGCTGAACTTGGCTGTTTTTTTCTCCTGTTAGCCCCAGGCTTGGCTGCTGTTAAATTTGACAGTTCATTTCCAGTCCCCAATTGGCCCGCTGTTACATTTGACAACGAGGAAAATAATCGTGAATGTATCCAACCCACCTGTAGGGTTGGGTGAGGATGTGTTGTATTCAAGGGATGCGTGAAGTGGTTTAGAACTGAAAATGTGACTGCGCCGTCGTTACCCCTCCTTTTCTTTTTCAATGCACTCGACTATTTTCTCCTTTTCTTTTTTTTTTTTTTTTTTTTTTTTTTTTTTTTTTTTTTAAATGAGACATGCTCCAATCTATTCGTGGGGAACAGATTTTTTTTGTTTTTGAAATGAGACATGCTCCTGGGGAGCAGATTATTATTTTTTTTGAAATGAAACATACTCCAATCTCTTCATGGGGAGCAGCATTTTTTTTTTTTTTTTTTTTTTTTGAAATGAGACATGCTCCAATCTATTCGTGGGGAACAGCAAATGCTGGGAACCGGGCCCAGCGTCCCATTCAAAATCATATTGAGAAATTGAGAAATTGAGAAATTTATGGAAGCTATTTTCCTCTCCAAATTCAAAATTGAAATTTCAATTTCAATAATTCAAAATTGAAATTTCAATTTCAATCAATGATCGGAGGCTGGGAATCTTCTGCATTAACCCTTCTCTCTCAAATTCCCCTTTTTTACCTGCTGCATTACATTTGACAATTCATTCTGGCCGCTGTTACATTTGGCAGTTTTTTTCTTGTCTTTTCTTTTTCTTTTTTTTTTAAGGCAGTCTTTTTTTTTTTTTTTTTTAAGGGCGATGGACTTGAGGTTTTATCATCCGACTAACCAGCCCAGGTAAATTCAATTTCAATATTGTGTCTAGTCTGACACCGACCGAGTGGCCTTTTCAGCCCAGGGTGGCCTTCATCTTTTGCCTTCAGGAAACCCCCAATTGAGGGGGGGGACACCGGCCAGGGGACAACTGCCGGTAGCAGAGGGATTAGGGAGGGACTTATGCATGCCGTCCCTCCCGTCCGTTGCTAGGGGTTAGGTTCAGCCCTGAGGGGATAGGCTCAACCCTGAGGGGAATGCTCAACCCAGAAGGGGTCAGGTGGTACTAACCCATAACCCTTAGTCCTAAGTTGATGCCTGTGCACAGAAGTGGTTCCTTGGTCAGGTGGTACTAACCCATAACCCTTAGTCCTAAG